AGTTGTATATCATCCAGACCGCGGGCTTTAATGGGTTTCGAAATTGGGCCGGGACCAAGTACTAAGAACAATTTGTTCCGATTTCTTTTTTATTTCTTTTTGGTTAGGACCTGTTTTGAACAATAAATTTGATTTTTTTTTTGGTTTTGCTTTGCGAAAATGTGTCGTCATATTGAAATGATTCTTATTGTGTCGTTGGCATCGTCGTCGCAATATTCATTGTAATGAGGACAACCCACAAGGTGTAATGTATCAATATAATATCGGAACAAACTCACGCTCACTCGTTCACCGGCCGTTCCTACGTAATTTGTACCGAGCTAATCCGTATTATTAACCGCGTGAAATATGGATACGACCGCCGTTCGTATTTCTTTATGACGAAATCCTCGACGGTTTGGAATGTTGCTATAAAGAAAATAAAAAAGTGATTTAAAATTATTAAAATTGCACGATTTTTGTAATGGACTATACACGAAATAACGACAATAAATTACGTTAGCGATTTAAGAACGTAGCATGAAATAAAAAGAAGTGGTTACAAATCGCGTGACGCTATATTATTACATCCGAACTTGGGCTAACCCGCAATCAGAAGAAATTCGGCGGAAGACACAAGAAGAAATAACGCCCCCCCTAGGTGAAAAATATCCTTCGAAGGAAACCCTCCGCCCCTTTTTAAAGCATCTCAAAAAAGATTCACCTTCTTTTTCGTTTCTTTATTTTTATTGTTTTGCCATTACATCTCCTTCGTTTTTTAAGATAACCAAGAAGGAAAAAATCGATTTTTTTCACGAAAAATTTTCCGCATACAAGCGACGATGTGGATGATGATAATAAATCAAGGTGAAATTAATGGATTTCGAATGCGGATCCGAAACAATTTTCTCGTTTTGTTTCGGTTTCTCCTCCTTCGCTTCTTCTCCGGGGTGGTTGTAACTTTTTTTTCTCGCACATCCGAACACGAAAGCTATTCGATTACACTCTCCGTTTTCGCAGTTTGATTAATGATTTCAACCGAGCGATTGCATTCGCGTGGCTTTAATTGATTGTTAGAGGAACCGTTTCGCAAAATCACTTTACACCTTGTTTATTTTTAATTTTAATAAATTTTAGTGTATCAATTTTAACAACTCAAAATAAACCAAAAAATAAAAATTTCTTTATTGTTTTTAAACAATACTTGTACAGAAAGTTGTCGATTCATCACAATGGATTACGCAACTTGATGGTTTTTTTTTATTGTTATGAAGAACAATAACGATTATATGCGAAAGTATTATAATAATCGAGAAAAGAAGATCGACTTTTCATTATTTATTTATTTTATTTGAAACAATTTTTTTTGTCGTCCCCGATTAAACTTAAACATGGAGTTAATTAAGGATTATTGTTATCTTACGAACGAACGACAACACACACACACATCGACTGATTTATACCAGTAATTACGTTCGTTTCTTCTTATCTTCCGGTTGGCGTGTATCGCGGTAGCGATTTCCAAAGCCGAATTGACGTCGACGACGACAGCAACTTTTACGAAATCTATCTTAATAAAACGAAAAGAACAAGAATATACTTGAGACTAATTTTAAGTTCAACTGGGTTTACTATCTAATATAATAACTAAATATTCAGAATCAGATGCTATGGAAAGATAAAAGACAACAACGTACAAGACGCTAAAACGTGATTGTGATGGATGAGTAATAAGTCGTTGATGATAGTAAATAACTGGGGGAAGAAAGAACATACTTCACAAGGTGACATCTAATAACATGTCATACTTTTATATTGGAATGGAAGTCAAATTCCATGCAGAAGGATCGGAAGAACCAGAAATACAAAATAAAATAACGTCTGCGTATTATTTTGCCCTATCAAATTTATTCCGGTCCAGAACTGTAGATAGACACTCAAAAATTAGAGTCTATAAAACCATCATTAGACGTATACCGTACTATGGATGCGAAGTAGTGATGGAACGGATAGTGATTTTGCGAAAAGCCGGATATCCGGTTATCCGGCATATCTATCCGGGCATAATGGTTATTATTTCTGGTACATTTCTGACCCTATATTGCCACATTATTGCGATATTTGAATAAAAATGAAATTAATAAGAAAGCTAATAAGATATGTCAACTTGTGTGGAACTAATGACAAACCTGATATAAATAAAGTTGTATTAAGTGAAAAAAGTCCTATTGGGGTTGAACTTGATTATTATCTGCACTGTCCAACCCTTAAAAAGATACAAATTCCTGTGAATAGTGGAGTACTAAGTAATAGGTTTTTAATATTCTTTAGATATTTGATATTATGATAGAGAGCGCAAAGATGCTGGAGGCATTTGAAAGAAAAATACTGTGGTACTTAATCTAAATTAAATATTTAGAATCGGGCATTTCGATAATCGCATTTAGCCAGACACAAACTTTTAATTGAGATATAAAACATTAAAATCCGTCAAACCGTNTATTATGATAGAGAGTGCAAAGATGCTGGAGGCATTTGAAAGAAAAATACTGTGGTACTTAATCTAAATTAAATATTTAGAATCGGGCATTTCGATAATCGCATTTAGCCAGACACAAACTTTTAATTGAGATATAAAACATTAAAATCCGTCAAAACGTTCTCTAATTATAGTCGATTTAGTTTAAATTAATTTTTTTATATTGGAGGCTAGACTTTCTTTTGCAGGAAGTGTTAAATATTGAAATTCGATTAGTACGTTTTATTTTAGTAAAATGGCGTAAGTTTTATTTGAAATGTTCGAGAAAACGAGTAATTTTTTATTGAAAGGTTGAGTTTTAACCAAAAACCGATTTAAAACCGCTTCGCCCCGTCGTCTTTGCATTTTTTGTTTATTCACCTCCAGTATTCCTCCTTCACACAATAAATTAAGGAGGGGATGTTTGGAANCTGTGGTACTTAATCTAAATTAAATATTTAGAATCGGGCATTTCGATAATCGCATTTAGCCAGACACAAACTTTTAATTGAGATATAAAACATTAAAATCCGTCAAACCGTTCTCTAATTATAGTCGATTTAGTTTAAATTAATTTTTTTATATTACGGGCTATACTTCCTTTTACAGGAAGTGTTAAACATTGAAATTCGATTACTGCGTTTTATTTTAGTAAAATGGCATAAATTTTATTTGAAATGTTCGAGAAAACGAGTAATTTTTTTATTGAAAGGTTGAGTTTTAACCAAAAAACGATTTAAAACCGCTTCGCCCCGTCGTCTTTGCATTTTTTGTTTATTCACCTCCAGTATTCCTCCTTCACACAATAAATTAAGGAGGGGATGTTTGGAAGTTGATTCGCTAATAACGCATTTTAGTTGATATGCGGGCGTTTAAGGGTGATAAAGTAGTTTTGAAAAATAAAACTTATTACGTGAATTAAGTGATAAATACGTGTTATATTAATGCTAAGTGTTAGGTGATGTTAGTGATGTGATATAGTTGAGATCATCGGATTGCTATTTTATGGATGCTAAAAGGTATCGTATTAATTCATTTCTTTTGTTACAATAAATTAGTTTATCTTTTCTTTCCAGCTGAGCTTCGAAGTAAAATCCAAGGGAAACAACATCCATTCGGTGAGTCGTTTTCAATTTTATTAATTGACCAAAACATATCGGGAAAATTCGCGATTTGAACGGTGTAATTTTGCCAGATAAAACCTTATTTAATATTTAGAATATTTATATAATATTTAATATTTCGAATCGGGCATTTCGACAACCGCATTCAGCCAGACACAAACTTTTAATTGAGATATAAAACATTAAAATCCGTCAAACCGTTCTCTAATTATAGTCGATTTAGTTTAAATTAATTTTTTTATATTAGGGGCTAGACTTTCTTTTGCAGGAAGTGTTAAACATTGAAATTCGATTAGTGAGTTTTATTTTAGTAATATGGCGTAAGTTTTATTTGAAATGTTCGAGAAAACGAGTAATTTTTTATTGAAAGGTTGAGTTTTAACCAAAAAACGATTTAAAACCGCTTCGCCCCGTCGTCTTTGCATTTTTTGTTTATTCACCTCCAGTATTCCTCCTTCACACAATAAATTAAGGAGGGGATGTTTGGAAGTTGATTCGCTAATAACGCGTTTTAGTTGATGTGCGGGCGTTTAAGGGTGATAAAGTAGTTTAGAAAAATAAAACTTATTACGTGAATTAAGTGATAAATACGTGTTCTATTTATGCTAAGTGTTAGGTGATGTTAGTGATGTGATATAGTTGAGATCATCGGATTGCTATTTTATGGATGTTAAAAGGTATCGTATTAATTCATTTTTTTTTGTTACAATAAATGAGTTTATCTTTTCTTTCCAGCTGAGCTTCGAAGTGAAATCCAAGGGAAGCAACATCCATTCGGTGAGTCGTTTTCAATTTTATTAATTGACCAAAACACATCGGGAAAATTCGCGGTTTGAACGGTGTAATTTTGCCAGATAAAACCTTATTTAATATTTAGAATATTTATATAATATTTAATATTTCGAATCGGGCATTTCGACAACCGCATTCAGCCAGACACAAACTTTTAATTGAGATATAAAACATTAAAATCCGTCAAACCGTTCTCTAATTATAGTCGATTTAGTTTAAATTAATTTTTTTATATTAGGGGCTAGACTTTCTTTTGCAGGAAGTGTTAAACATTGAAATTCGATTAGTGCGTTTTATTTTAGTAAAATGACGTAAGTTTTATTTGAAATGTTTCGAGAAAACGAGTAATTTTTTTATTGAAAGGTTGAGTTTTAAAACCAAAAAACGATTTAAAACCGCTTCGGCCCGTCGTCTTTACATTTTTTGTTTATTCACCTCCAGTATTCCTTCTTCCCACAATAAATTAAGGAGGGGATGTTTGGAAGTTGATTCGCTAATAACGCATTTTAGTTGATATGCGGGCATTTAAGGGTGATAAAGTAGTTTAGAAAAATAAAACTTATTACTTAAATTAAGTGATAAATGCGTGCTATATTTATGCTAAGTGTTAGGTGATATTAGTGATGTGATATAGGACATCATGGGATTGCTATTTTATGGATGTTGAAGGATGTGAAGGTATCGTATTAATTCTTTTTTTTTTTACAATAAATTAATTTATCTTTTCTTTCCAGCTGAGCTTCGAAGTAAAATCCAAGGGAAACAACATCCATTCGGTGAGTCGTTTTCAATTTTATTAATTTACCAAAACATATCGGGATAATTCGCGATTTGAACGGTGTAATGTTGCCAGATAAAAACCGTTTGAACGCTACTCATTGGATTTGTGCTTGAAAAACGGTACCATTCAATAAATTTTTGCATTTTGTGCTTGAAAAATTATAAAGCTTTAATTATTAACATTGTCAAAACATGAAATAATTTGAAATTGAGTGTAAACCACTCCAAATAATACTAGTATAATCTATGTTTCGAGAAAACGAGTAATTTTTTTATTGAAAGGTTGAGTTTTAAAACCAAAAAATCGATTTGAAACCGCTTCGCCCCGTCGTCTTTGCATTTTTTATTTATTCACCTCCAGTATTCCTCCTTCATACAATAAATTAAGGAGGGGATGTTTGGATGTTGATTCGCTAATAACGAGTTTTAGTTGATATGCGGGCATTGTGGGGTGATAAAGTAGTTTAGAAAAATAAAACTTGTTACTTGAATTAAATGATAAATGCGTGCTATATTTATGATAAGTGTTAAGTGATATTAGTGATGTGATATAGGACATCATGGGATTGCTATTTTATGGATGTTAAAAGGTATCGTATTAATTCATTTCTTTTGTCACAATAAATTAATTTATCTTTTCTTTCCAGCTGAGCTTCGAAGTAAAANTTGGACACCTGATTCTTTTGCAGGAAGTCTTAAACAATGAAATTCGATTAGTGCGTTTTAATTTAGTAAAATAACGTACATTTTATTTGAAATGTTTCGAGAAAACGAGTAATTTTTTTATTGAAAGGTTGAGTTTTAAAACCAAAAAATCGATTTAAAACCGCTTCGCCCCGTCGTCTTTGCATTTTTTGTTTATTCACCTCCAGTATTCCTCCTTCACACAATAAATTAAGGAGGGGATGTTTGGAAGTTGATTCGCTAACAACGCATTTTAGTTGATGTGCGGGCGTTTAAGGGTGATAAAGTAGTTTTGAAAAATAAAACTTATTACGTGAATTAAGTGATAAATAGGTGTTCTATTTATGCTAAGTGTGAGGTGATGTGATATAGTTGAGATCATCGGATTGCTATTTTATGGATGTTAAAAGGTATCGTATTAATTCATTTTTTTTTTTACAATAAATTAGTTTATCTTTTCTTTCCAGCTGAGCTTCGAAGTAAAATCCAAGGGAATCAACATCCATTCGGTGAGTCGTTTTCAATTTTATTAATTGACCAAAACATATCGGGAAAATTCGCGATTTGAACGGTGTAATTTTTGCTACCAAATGATGTGGTATTTCAATTTAATCTTTTGCATATGTTTTCATGATATATTTACTTATTTAAAAAGAATTGTTTATAGAAAATAATCTTTACATTATCTCTCAACCAAGTTGGTGCGTGGATTGTCTAAGTTGCTGGTTGACACAATATCTATCCTTGAAAAGATCTGAAACTCAAAAATCAAGTGATGTTCTTTTCTATACAGTGTGTCCGTAAAGTAACGGATATAGGCGATAAAATCATTATAAACGGTTTATGGAAAAATCCCTGAAACGGGTCTAAAGATTTAAATTTGTTGCTATTGTTTGGTGTAGATTGTAAATTTCTAAGATCATACTTTCGATCGAGATGTTGATGACTAAAATTGGTCATTATAAGTGGTTAAGCTTTGGAATGAGACATTGTTTATTGAAATCGGTTGACTGGTTCTCTTGTTATAATCAAAATACTATACATGTAAAATCCTATCTAATTGGGGGCTAGAAAAATTGGGAGCTAACTTCGCATAGGTAATAGATGAAGTTTTTATCAGACATCCAGAGTAAACTGGATGAATTAGATGACAGATTGATACAAAAACATTTAGATTCTTGATTAAATAAGAAAAAACTGTTATAAACTTGTAACTTAATAATTATATTAGATCGAATCTTCTTTTTCAAGACAATTATTTCTTGTTCTTCGCGGTTCGTTCCGCGGCTTCCGAAGAAGAAGAGAGTTAAAGGTAAACGAAGAGGAGAAGACGACTACGAAGTCGTTTGAACGTGTCCGGCAATATTAATTGATTATTAACCTTTTCGCTACAATTCATCCATAGAGAATCGTCCCCGTTTAATTATTATCTCGCAATTAGCGGTGAGCGCGACCCATTCTTCTTCTTCATCATCATCTTCGTCGTGTTCTCTCGTCGCTTTATAGGAACCTTGAATATAACAACAACGGCTGAACAAGTGAGAGAATGAGAAAAATCCAAAGTTGAAAACCGTTTATCGGGCGTTGTTACGTAAGTAGATCACCAGGAAGTAAGACAAAAGTAATTAAATAAAATTAATTCGCCGCGTGCTCTTAAACTGTACTAAGAACTGGTCCAAAACGGCCTTAAACGTAAATAAACTCGGCGGCAACGGTCTCGCGTGGAAATAATACCTTTTAACTCGCGGCGTTATCTTAAATAGATAAATTGGGATTTAATGAGTTAACGAGAAACGGTGTTAAACTTCTCTTTAAACTAAAACGTTTAATTACACTTTACTCAATCTCTTTTACAGAGTTAATAAAAATCGCTTTTCAATGATTTTCTTGGGGATAAGTTTTTCTTCATTATAATTTTTTTTAATCATTTCATTTAAAAATAAAACCGTATCGAAAGTCGCTGTTAACGTTGGAAGCACGTACGTTTCGGGGTCTCCTCCTCTTCGTGGAATTAAGAAGACGTCGAATGAAAGACGAAAAGAAAGAAAGAAAGCAGCGGAGTTAAAAAAAGGGATAAAAAGAACGATCACATCGGGAGAGAAGAAGTTAACAATAAAAACGCCGCGAAAAGAAATCGAATGTAAACACAGCGGAGCCGGAGGTCGTTATTTTCTCTGACGGCATTATTACGACCGCGGGATAGCGGCGGCGGCGTTGTTCTTCGCGTCCCGAAGACGCGAAAATCTTTTGCAACAATTGTGTCTCTCAAGAGAAAGAAAGACGTTACTGTTGTTGTCATTGTGAAATCATCAATAAATTGTCAATGAAAAAGATCGAAACAACGTTTTGAAAAATCACTTAAAGTTATTATAATGATTGAATAATTTAGTTGAAATTAAAAATTTTAAATTGAATTAAAATCTTTCAAGTATCATTTGGTTATATTGGTAATTAACGCGGGCAACAACATTAATTATAAGTTTAGTCGCGCATAAATTTCTATCTATTCTCATTTGCAAGAAGCCGGACGCGATCCGGAGTGGCGCCAACTCCGGATGGCGCGTTCCGTTTAATGTTAAACCGGCGCGAACCAAGTACTAGAAGAAGAAGACGAGACGAAGATGAAGAAGAAACGAAGAAATAGACGAAGGAACACCGCGAGGACGACACGCCAGTTGGCAAATGAGCTTCACTCGGAACTTGCAGAATAATCCTTAGCACTAAGCAAAAGAGATGGAGAGAGAAGAGCAACTGTCTAAGAGCTAATTCCTCATAATGGGTTTATTTAAAGCTCGACCAAGTGCAATTGTCGAGAAGATGAGAGAGATTGTAGTTGTTTTTGACGTTGATGAGTTAATGTATTAGTTGAGAATTATTATTGGCTAATTCTTCGTAAGTATATCAAGTAAATCGCAAAAAGAATGATTTCTAAAATGATTTATTTACGATTCTCCACGTGGACGTTAAAATCGAAGTTAAGTATGACGTTTTCAAGGAGGCGAAGAAGCACAAAAAGAGATCTTAGTTTCCTTCTCTTTTCTATCTCTTCTTCTTGGGCGTTTATTGAGCCGTAAATTAATACGAGTTATCTAATGTATGGCGTCATATGGTTGTGGGCTTCTTGTAAATGGAAGATGAAAAAAAATTACAAAACCAGTGTGTGTGCGTCGCTATGTGTGGTTGCTCCCGAGCGCAGTTAAAACCGTTTATAGAGTCGAGTTTTGACTTTGAGCACAATTTTATTGACACCTATCGTTAAATCTAAATTTTCTAAAATCACTTTCTCTTCTTTTCTTATCGTTTTTTTTTATTCTTCGTGTTAATTCCATAAACTATCCAATTAAACCGGATACCGAAACCGTTCTTCGTTCAATTTGTAATCGTTATCCAGATCTGGATAAACGAGATTAGATCGATTAGATTTATTTATAAAGCAACCAAGATTCTAGATGAAGAAAAGAAAAAAGAAGTTAAAAGGTGAAACGAAATGGGTCGCTTTTACGGTGTTCGATTCGTTTACGGAAACGAAATGCGGCGACGGCTTCGATGGACGTTTCAGGCGAAATGGCTGAAATGGGAACGCGAAGCACTGCGCCAGAGAATCACCCCGTGTTGTTAATGTTAATTAATTAACGGCGAGCGTTAAATCGTAAAACGACAAACGATAAGTCGACGTTAAGATTTATTTAGTAGCTGCGGCGGCGAAACTTTCAAAGTTTCAACTTTGTATTTAAATACACTACCACGTAATTTATTTATTTCTCCAAGTTGTTCCACTTTTTCATTACTTTTTCAGACATCATTTAGACAAAATGTTTTGAATGGAAATTTATTCTCTTTTCGAATAATCGATTCTTTTTAAAATTATATTTAATAAAAAAATTTCTTCGTAATTTTTCTTCTACTATAAATCTTAGATCTTTAGCCTGATTAATTGTGGAGTGGCAGAAAAGTTTTGTTAATCTCTATCTTGTGCATCCACAGTCATTGCCAAAATATCTATCCTATAATTGTTGTAATTCTATCAAATACGGTAAAAAAGATTACTTCTGAATGATATTGCTTTAACGCATGATAACTCTACCTAAAGTGCATTATTTAAATTGAATCATTATCCAAGATCTTGAAATTTCAATCTTAAAATTCCTGAAATACTTTTTTTTGTGCAGTTTTGATACAATTTCTCGATAAGATTTCATTGTTGATATGAATGCCAGTTTCGATCTTAACTTAACCGTGACTTAACTCGAGTTATTCGGCGCGAAGAAAACTTAAAACCGTTTACGCAAGAGACACACACACACACGTTCGCAACCGCTGCTGTTGCCGTTGAGATACAGATCGCTCGTGTGAGATACCCAAATGGAACCGTTAAGCATTGACTTATCAACTGTGTTAAATACAATGTATCTCTTTCTACGTGACCGAACATTTCAAATCGTAAATTGACTTCAACTTCAACATCAATTTCCTTATTCGTTTTTCCTTATTCCCTTTTATTAACTTCATTTTATTTCGATAAAATTTTAAACGTTCAAATTCGCAAGTTTAATTGTGGGGGTTATTAACTTTATTTCATCGATTCTTTTATCGGTAAAAGGCAAATAAAAGATCGTTAAACTTTAAGTTTAACGTTTTAATTTACGTATACCATTAAAAGGAAACGTTTTTAACGATTCTGTTATTTATTTATTTAAAATTTTAAAATTGTAAAGTTCAATGCTACAACGATTTCTTCGTTCATTTTTACTATCTTTATTTATTTTTTGATTATACGGTAGTAATTTAAATCGCTAAACGAAGAAGCTTTTAATTTTATTTTTTTCGTGTTTTTTTGTGTACATTTTATTTTATGGGAGTTGGAAACGCGAGCTGGAGCTCGAAGAACGCAACAGCAGCAGCACTGCATAAGACGAACACAGAGAGATACCGAAGTGGTAAATTATGCTCCTAGGTCCGGTTCGAACCTGTCGCCTATTTAGAAGTGAGGAGAACCTCTATGCGCGACGATAACTGTACCTCCTTCTGCTGTTGGTGCTGCTGCCATCGTCGTCTCTTTCCATACCAGCGATATTTTCATGATATGCGCCAAGTTTCAACAGCAACGTTTCTTCAACGCCCCATTAAACTCAGATGAACGGTTACTACTTTACCGATTGATTCAGATTCAAAGCAAAAATGTTGAATAAAAAGTCTTTGTGTATAATACAAATTGGTACCAATTGAATTTTAAGGTCACCGGGTACATTTCACGACTATTATTACTCTTATGGACAGATGTTTATAAGAGACGTTCCATAAGAGATCATAACCCGGAGTCTATTATGTCGAGCATCCAAACACGATGACTGTGCAATAAACGCTTCTTCAACTTCAACACACAGACACTGCGCCTATTCTAAAGTTTTTTTCGTCTTCGTCATCAGTGTGTGTAACAGAAACCGATCTTTAACCGTATTTGATTGGCAGAAATAGGCCAATAATCTTCTTCTTGAACGACGAGATTAAAAAAGAAAGATCAAGAATATCATGAAGATCAAGAAGAACGAAGGAAAAGCGCTTATTATCTTTTTAAACGGAAACACCCTCATCGTTTAACGTAATTTATGGTTTGGTCTTGGAATTTTCTTACTCTTTTTGCGAAATATAAACAAAAATTTAAAAATCTAAAAATAAAATTAAATCCTTCTAGAGATTTTATTTTATTGAACATTGGATATAAACGATCCCATTGACGTCGTGATATATCGACAGGTGAGAAGACTCTTGGTTAGAGGATTCTAATTGCGAGCCAATTGTTCACTTTATAAGGAGTCGAAGGAGAGGAGTAGAACTCTTTGGGGTCTCTTAATAGGGAAATACGTTAGGTTCTCGCGCTCAGCGGGATGAGCTTCGGCTTGAACCATCTCGCCAATTATCGCCGGAATGGAGGTAGGTAGTATGTATAGAGAAGAACGAGTTGCGTTATTGATCGATCCTTCTTATGCTTCACCGTCTATTCGAAATTGAATTTCCGCGAACGAAAACAACCGTTTCGTTTTTAGAGAGATCAATTTTCTTTATGAAAACGAAACGAAACGAGGAAACCGAATCACGTTTAAATATTGACTCACTTCTGAGAAGGAGTCATAAATCCACTTTGAGCGAGTAAATAAATTTACTTTACGCGGTATTTCAATTTGCATTTTCTTCTTCTTCTTCTCCTTCATCTTCGACCACGTCTTCTTCTTCTTCGTCGTCGTCGTCTTCTTCATTCGAAAATCTCTCGAGGCTTCGAGCTTTAAAAAACAACCGCTTAAAACCGAACCCGAAATTACGACGGTCGATTTTTGTTTACGACCGCGGAGCAAATCTTCTTCTTCGACTTCTTTGCTGAATATGGAAATATCATCGACGACGTTTAAAGCAAATAGAGACACAATAAACTTTACGCAATATCTTTGATGCGGTATCTATTTTGCGCAAAAGGTCGAAAACGAAAGATCACGTTCTAATTGTAAACGAAAAATAATAGTAAAACGATGGTTTCATATGATTTTGAAACTATTTTGAAAGTTATTTTATAACATTTTAAATTATTTTAACTTACCGCACATTTTGAAGTGTCTAATATTTCAACTTCCGTTGTTACATTGTCGAAGGTTACATTATGCCTGTAGAGGAAATCTGAAATAAGAGAATAAAGTATATATTTATTTATTCTCAGCAATGACTAATCTATATACAGGGTGTCCCGTTAAGTGTACGGAGCGGCTGTATCTCTAGAACGGTAAGGCCAAGAGGTTTGGGAAAAAAATCCTTATAAGCAAAGTGACCAAGAGAAATAGCTGGAAATTATTTTGAAGTTCGTAATTCGACCGCTAGGGGGCGTAACTGCCATTGAGAAACATAAAGTTGCCCCTATCTCAGAAACTTAGACGATGAGCTATAACTTTGACACCATCATTTAATAGCTTGGATAATACCGCATCGCTTTTGTTTTGCGATATTTCTCATCTGTCATAATAAGGAAGGGGGAGGCCAATGCGTTTTCATATGTTTACATTTTAATATCTCCTAGACCATTCAACCGATTTGAATTTTCAGTAAGACCGTCTGATTTAAAACAAATGAGCTAGAGGACGTTATCTGCAGCGATTACATATTTTTGTGATTTTTGAAGAAAAGTTAAATGGAACGATACTATTTACTTCACAGACCCTTAGTCACCTTAAAATTTGCTAAATTTTAGTGAAAACCGCATCTCGATATCGCCACCCGTTCTCGAGTTATAGAAGAAAATGTTAAAAACTCGAGTGCCATCAATCGGATCCAGTTACCTCATCGAGAAAAACAAATCACATAACCATGGTAACTGTAAACATGTCATTTACTAACGCAGAAGCGTATGATAGAGCGTATGATGATTTATTTTCAATGTTTCGAATACGATGCAACTGCATGGCAAAAATGTGCAATGCAATTACGACAAAGAAAGACATTTTTCTCTAGAAGTGTTTTTAAGATTGACTTAGCGATTACGGAAAACTGGCAACGTGTAGCCCATTCAGACATCTCTATGAATTCGTAAATCATATTGGTGCGCAATGTGATCCCACATAATCTGGGAACTCCGAAAACAATTGTCCACAAGAGTTCTCAAGAGAATAATATCTCCACCACGTTGTTTTACATCAGGCCTTAACAGATACCGATTATGATAACAGACTGAACTATTACCATTGACTTTTAAATATGATTTGGGCAAATCCAAACCTTTTATCACAAATGCTATGGATGCATGAAGCATCTGTCCACAAGCTGATGTAAACTTGCATAATATGCATTCTTGGTTCGAGCAAAACCCACATTGCTTTCACCCCTTTATCTATTGGGTAGACTAAACGACCTGACTTTTCAAGAAAAACCAATAACCAGGGAAAATATGACAAAACACTAAATACCAGTAGAAACGTGTCCAGGGCCGAGACTTAAGCAGCGCTTTTTTTTCGTCGAAACTAGATTAAATAAATGCATCGAGGTTTATGGAAGGCATTTCGCACATTAGTGAGTTATTTTTGCCAAAAATTTAAGTTATTCTAAGTGTTTTGGTTTATTTTGTTTTATTATCATTGTTGATGTTTCATTGATCCGTTGGCTTTTCAACACGCCTCAAAAGTAGTTTTGAAGCAGTTCTAAGCTTGGATAAAGTGTGAAGGAAGGTTCTAGATAATAAAATTTTTGTTCTCTCTTATTTGTTTCCTAAGGTAACTTGATCCGATTAAGATATACGAATTTTTAACATTTTCTTTTATAATTCGAGAATGGATGGAGATATCGAGATGCGGTTTTCACTAATATTTAGCAAATTTTATGGTGATTAACGGTCTGTGAAGTAAATAGTACCGTTCCATTTAACTTTTTTTCAAAAATCACAAAAATATGTAACCGCTGCAGATAACGCCCTCTAGCTTATTTGTTTTAAACCAAGCGGTCTTACTGAAAATATCTTTTAAAAGAGCATGAAATGCTCTTTCAAACAAGACCAAAAATATTCAAATCGGTTGAATGGTCTAGGAGATATTAAAATGTAAACATTTGAAAACGCATTGGCCTCCCCCTCCCTTATTATGACAGATATGAGAAATATCGCAAAACAAAAGCGATGCGGTATTATCCAAGCTACTAAATGATGTTGTCAAAGTTATAGCTCATCGTCTAACTTTCTGAGATAGCGGGAATTTTATGTTTCTCTATGGCAGTTACGCCCCCTAGCGGTCGAATTACGAACTTCAAAATAATTTCCAGCTATTTCTCTTGCCCACTTTGCTTATAAAGATTTTTTTCCCAAACCTCTAGGCCTTACCGTTGTTGAGATACAGCCGCTCCGTACGCTTAACGGGACACCCTGTATAATGACAATTTATTTCTAGTGTTAGTTGTTATTTTAGTGTTATTTCTAGTTTTAATTGTTATCCAGTATTAGATTGTGGTATATTTTTATTAAACGAAAAGTAGAACTAACACTAAACCTAGCACCAGAAACATTCAGGTTTTTTAAGACTCTGAGTTTCCGAGTTATCATAAGGACGTCACCTTTTCCAAGCAAAACTTTTCCTTTACAAAACTACCTATGTTGACGCTATATTGCATTTTATGTGGGACAGTGCAAGTGCATAGTAGTTTTGTAACTATGGTTACTGCATTCATATATTGCGAGTTATATGAAATTCCCTATATTGTATGAATGTAACTATTTATTTGAATAACTACAATAAAATTATAGGACAAAGATTGTAGCATTTAAAAGCGAAACCTAATAATTAAAATGAAAATAAGAATGCTGAAAAAAAAAGGAAGATGGAGAGAGGAAGATTCCCAGTAAATCCACTTTCTATCGATCGACCGTCGAAGATACTAATTGTTTATTCCGTTTGGCTTTTGGTTTATTTGAGTTTTTGTAAAAGGGGGAAAACCGAGGGGGCCATTATTTACCTCCACCCATTGTTGCCGAGGCCCGACGCTTTTTTTGCAGCCTAAAAGTTTAACTTTCCCCAAGAAGAGACTCTATGCGACGACCAAACGCAAGAAATGAAAGAAAAAAATTACAAACCACCTCTACAACACAGAGAATCGTGACGTACTTTCATACAGACCATATTTATAATTATAGATTTTCTATGGAAATGCGACTCAGAAACGATTTCATAGAGAAAAAGAGAGAGGAATAGAGGAGAAACATCACAATAAATATTGCAAGGTTAAAATATCAAAAATACAACTTAAACATAAACCAAATAATAATAATTAAACTAACTTTCATCTCCGCTTGAAAAGTGTTTTTGATATAGGTAACTTTAATTAATCGACAGATGTAACTTTATTCTGACAGTGCTAATTGGATAAAAATCGAAAAGTGATCGACACGATCTTCAGTTTAACAAAGAGAGAAGAGAGTAAACGAAAATGTGTACTTGTTAATTCATGACGCGACGTATTGTATGGGGAATGATGAAGCATATTTTTTGGTTTACTAATTTGTCATTGAAGAAGCAAATTTTTAACCTAATTTTTCGCGTTCACTTGTCGACGTCGTCGTCGTCGTCGTCGTCGTTTCCTCCTTGTCCGGATCGAGAGAAATGGCGAATAACGGAGCCGGATCTGAAAATGGCGACGCCGTTAGTACTCGGAAATTTTACAGTAAAAATTGTCGGGGACGAGCCGGAGATTAATTTCACTTTAGAAACTTTTCTATTTCCGTAACATTACTTCGCGTATTCCTTTTCACTCAATCATCATCGTCGTCTTCTTCGTCTTCTTCATCAAAAGTAAAAAAATATAATTTGCTATAAAATTTTGTAACCAATTAACCCATGACATGGGTACACCGTGAAGTTAATTGTTGATTTAAGAAATCTGGTGATGATAAAGATGAAGTTTTTTCTTGTTTGGTGATCAATCAAGATTGGATTGTTCGATTGGTTAGGTCGGCAATTTTAGTAGTTGGGTTTGGTATCGCTTAGAAATCGTGGTTAATCCGGCAACTTAATTAATTTTCTCGACACTACTACAGTGTCGAAGACGACAACAACTACGACATCAAAGTCATCAAAAGATATAATGAAGAAGAGAAACGGGGCTAACACCGTAACAAAAAAAATGTATTTGTGTTTTTTTCTAACCGCATCGTCACCTAGATTTCGCCTCTTAAAACAATCGTAATGACACTATCAATAATAACAATAATCAAAGATATGCTATGAATTAGTGGTAAACGATTATTATTAAAGAAGAAAAAATGATAGTGATGATAATAAAATAAATTAAAATATCGTCATATGTGGTGGTTTAGAAATCGTAACCTATATTCCTCATCCAAAGTAACAACTAACTTATACGTTTCGTTCGCGGTGTGGACGCGCCCTAAAGGAGATTGTGAGCCACTTCCACAAAGTGATTTAAGCGATTTTCCGCAGGTGATGAAACCGTGTAGTCATAATGTTAAATTACTATTGTCGGAAGTAATATTATCTCTTTGAAGAGAAAGGTTTCTAACACATACTGACCGACATCTTTTCAAATTTTCAAAATACTTTACCACTACGAGACATTTCAGTGTATATTAATAAAAATATACACAACAATATTCGCATCTCTTTCCGCATTTAAAATTAATAAACAAAAATTATAACTTGTTATGTCACATTTTTTTATTTTTAACAATGACGATTTTTATGCTGTACAGTTATAAATCACGTGATATTAGGAATTCCCTGTCATGGGAGATTCTCATAAAATCCTGCGAGATTGGTCTAAATAGATTAGCATGTTTAAAAGTCTATCTGTGTACGAGCATGACCTTTGCCACAAATAATAGCAGCAAATTTTGTAGATTAATATGGTAATCAATCTGATAGAGTGTTCAGGCATCTTTTGGTCCACTCACAAATCGTTTGCTATCTGCAATATTTGACTGGAAGTTGTCACGTTTGGTCTCACTCGGAGCAATGATGTGTGGTCTCCGAACGTTATCTGGTGCAGGAAAAATGCAGGGAACACTTCCCTCTTGCTTGCAGTTCCTTTAAGTCTGAATATGCAAAGACTCTGTAGGTTATGTAGGTTATTAAAATCAAACACTAGAAACAGTGCAGAACAAATTTATCATATTGTGATTTACCTGGCTTAAGTAGCATAATGATTTCTGCAACCAGCTTGCGGGTATGTATTTTAATCTGATAGCTGCGTTGCATAAGTAAGTCAACATAGTTATACCTTTTTTGCAAGCTGCTTAAGTGTTTGCCTTCTTATGTCGGATGTTAACATCAACATCTTCATTGTTTGGGTTGTATTGTTGTTCAATAGTGGTGAAGAAAACTTCCACGTTGATTGACTTGCGGCAAATTATTCGATGACTTAATCCCAAATTCTTTAATAGAAACCTTGATCTGCTGCAAGAAACAGTCTTATCGCCTCATTTTTATATATTTCAAGTCCTTAATACCTCGGGGAAAGAACTTAATAGAGTAGGATATCTTGAACAAGACTCGTGGTGGTGAAACTTCCTATATGACTCCAGTGAGTTTTTGCATTGCGTAGTTGAGTCATAGTAAGTTAGACATTTTGCGGAAAAAGAAGAAAGTCGTACTCAAATATTGAAAAATTTGTTAAACAATTATTTGTATCATATTATTATTGTGCAAATCGTATTTGTAAAGTTGAATAGTGAAAATTGCAATTTATTTGCAGCGTTAATTTTTGACACGCACCAATTGATTTTTTAATGATTTTTTGGTATGTTTTTATGGTTTCCGCACATTCTTTTTTTGCTGTTACCTCTAAATGATTTCCTGTACGTGTACAACACCAATACGTAATTTTACGGTGCGGTTGAATTCTCAATTATTTCCTATATTGTTAAGATGGATAAAATAAAATGGATTTTTTTGGAAGAATTTATCTATGAGTTGACCATAACAAATCTGTAGGTTACCAATGCAACCATTTATAAACGACAAATAAAAAAAGACGATTTTCTCATTATTCCTAAATTGAATGTAAATTTATTTAATTCCTTTCATTTATTTTACAGTCTTTTATAGAGTGGTCGTTTGTGAAGATCGTGGATTGAATAGTAATTGAAAATTGTTGTAAAGAAACCCTAAAACTATTTGCTCTCCTAAGAAACGCGACGAGGACGCATTGAAAACAACGATAAAGACGTAGCAGGACAAAGAATGGAAGAACGAAAAGAATGAGAGATTCCAGGAGCCTGACATAATAATACGTAACAGTTCAGCCCCCTCGTCTCTCGAACCGTTTTCCACGCTCGCAAATCCGGGTTAAACACGGACGGATGGTCGTCTTTTTCTCTCTTCACCTTTCATTCTTCCCCCCTTATTCTTTCAATCTTACTTCCCGGAGATCGACTCTCTTTTCGAACCTCAAACGAAACACAAAAGAAGTTCGAAAACTGTGTTTATGACTTAAAATTGTGTGCCACAAGGAGAAAGCCAATATCGGTAATTGGTTCCACTCTTATTATTATTCAACTTATATTTAGTTACCAAGAAGAAAACAATTTTATACAAAAATAGTTTTTCCGATTTAATAAGAAAGTTATAATACTCACCACTAGTGGAACTATATTCTCCTATGTACCGCTTTGTTAAGTAACGCACTGTCACAGCTGAAACAAATTTATGATTTAATATCCACGAAACAGGTAAAATATATATATGTATATATATGTATGTTATGTGTTTATATTTAATATAAATGTACGTAAGTCCATATTCATTTTGTGTTATGTAAACGTAATTTATGGAATTCGAAACAAAGTTTAAGAAATCGTCATTTTAACCTAATATAAGTAGTGTGTTAATTAATTATCGTACCCGACGTCATCATACATTGATAGTATGCAACCAATATCACAATGCAATACCAATACTGTCATATTGGCTGCATACTTGCAATGATGACTTCGGGTACGATAATTAATTAACACTCTGTATATGATTCAATCAAGATTTGTTTGTAAAGAGTGTTTTAAGGAAATCTTAAAGCAACGACGCTGTTCTCATTCATGAGAGTTATATGTAAGTTCTTGGAGATTTTTTTTGGAATGAAGTGCACCAGTATAGAGTAGAGGGCCTATTAATATCGTCCGCTCGAGCGAGGATAGTGGTAAGAGTCGTTGATTTAACTTATGCGAAGCGGCGACCACTTCCGTGCATGTCCCCAGTACTCACCCACTGTGAGAATATAGTAACGGTGCGCAATCATAACAGATCCGCGCGCCCGTTCCCTTCTTCCTCGGTTCGTTCGTTGTGGCGCGCACGAGATTGAATTTGCTGCTGCTGCTGCCCTCCTCCGTGGGACGTACGGTTCATTGTGTTGTTGTTGCTGTTGCCGTTCCATAACGACGCAAAGAAAGACTCTTTCGTCTCTCTAACTCCTTCGTCGTCTTTCCGTATTCCGACTCTAACGGAGACTACATGTTTTTTTTATAAAAAATGAAGGAAATGGAGCTAAGAAACACCAACTTCCTATTTTCACTTTGACTCACCAAAATTAGAAGTCTTAAAATGGCTTGAAGATGATGAAGGAGAAGATGAAGAAGAAGAGTATTGGCGTCTCTGTTAAGATCCTAATTTGTCATTTACCGCAAATGGTAAGGTGCCACAAATTGCTTCCTATACGTTCGCGTATCTTTATTTACTACTAGCGTTTCGAAGAATGAATCTTCGTCGGCCGACGGCGACGGTTTATAATTTAAACGTTGTCAACCCGAATGAACCCAAAATAAATTAAGTTTATTTGTAGGGACCTCGAGTTCTTTTTATAAAAGGCGCTATACCGTGATTATTCACGGTATCGAAAGTGCTGACTGCCGCTCAACCTTCATTTTCTTCTTCTCCTCGGTTATCTCCTCGGATTCTCGCAACTCACAATGGTTTCATGTGGGGTCTCTTCAACGATAATCTTCTTATCGTATTCTTCTTATACAATTTTTTTTCCCAGATTTCATTTGAATGGGAAAAAAATTGTTTGTGTTAATTATAAAATTTGTAAGATTTTACATCATAAACCGATCGAATTAAAAATTAAAAGGCGTCTTTAAACAGAAACGTTGAACAACTCCGGGTCGATGGCTGGCAAGGTTGGTCGCACTGCCGGCCCGAGTTTGTCAATGTCACGGCTGCATCCTTCGTCAAGGACGAAGAAGAAGAGTGTTACGTAAAGAGGAGTTATGCAAAAATTCTTCTTATCTTTTTTAATTCCTTTTAATTTAAAAAGTTATTTAAGGAACTCTGTAACAATTCCAAAATTATTTCTTCTTTTACTTCTTCTTCTTGGTAGTATGTAGTAGTATTTCGTAGATAATCGTAGAGAGTAACCTGAGTAAGTTGAATGGATCTCGCGAAGACCGAGTCCTTATTCGTGCGAAACAAATGAAATATGTCGGTGCTGATAAGAAGAAGACTACCACTACTACCACTTCTTCCAACGGCGCCGTCCGTCCTGTGACAGCTTAAAGCGCTGACTGGACGAGGCTCCAGTTACCTGCCATTCTTCGCGGCTTGCGTAATACGTTACACATCCTCGCGAGTTAGTGTGGGCATAGATGCCACCGTGAAGATAATATTATCCCAAAAGAATTCCGATTTTATCACTCCTCCAAACAAAAAAAAATAGAATAGTCAAATCATATCTGTACACCGGGAATTAGTTACTACACACTTAAACTGTCTCACATAAAGTGCAATATAGCTTAATAGTACAGGCATTGGATAGTTTTGCAAAGGAAAAATTTTGCTTGGAACAAGGTAACGTAACCAGAATAATTCTGGTTCTAGATAGTTATACACAGTGTTGTTAACTTGTTAACTTGTTAACGTGTTGTTTACTTTCAAGGGTAAATTTCCTGGATATATACCCGAGGGTATTTACCCAAGATGGGTATTTAGAGGTATTTATAAAATTTAATTTAAATTGAGTTGATGGCAGTTTTGCAAGCACTTCAAGAATGCAGAGTCGATTATCGATATACCAAACTTATTTATAACATCCCCAAGAATGCTACAATGACGGTACAATTGCATGAAAGTACTGAAGAGGGTAAAAGTAGTAAAGTACTGATTATGAGTAAAATAAGGCGATACACTGTTGAACCCAAATTGTTCACAGTCCTCAGAGTGCATTTAGACAACTAGATTGGACCCAAAAAGGCCTAAACATTGATTGCAAATGCTTAAGTAATTTGCGCTATGCGGACGATATAGTTCTTATATCGGATAGCCTTGGAGAGATTAAACTAATGCTGAACGACTTAAAGGAGTTGTGTGCAAGAGTCGGTCTAAATATCTACGAGGAGAAATCAAAATTTATGATAAATCTTGTTCCCAGCTATAACATCGAAATTGGGGATAATGAGATTGAGAAGGTTGACAGCTATGTATTTCTTGGCTATGAGGTTCGTGTATTGAGAGGTAATCAAACAAGCGAACTAAACAGAAGGATCACACTCGTGAGGCCAACCCAAAAGGCCAAGAAAGGCTTTCAATCAATGAGTGTTTCCGGTTATAACATAAGACTCCGAAACTTTAACATTAATTGTAGCCACTGCCAAGAGGGTCCAAGTAATGCAAAGATAGATGGAGAAGTCGATCCTGGGTCCTAACTCTGAGGTACTACATACGAAATGAAGACCTATGAAGAAGAATAGGCGTAAATGAACTGGTGGTCAACATTGTGGCAAAGCTTAAGTGGAACTTGGCGGGTCATGTCGTGAGAATGAAGAATGAGCAGTGGACAAAACGGTTACTTGAGTGGACACCGCGAGCGAACAGACGAAGTAGACGTGAAAAGTATGACCAACAATTGGATTCAGACAGCACAGAATAGAATCGAACGGGACAGAATAGGGGAGGTCTATGTCCAACAATGGACGCAGAGGACTGCTTGATGATAATTATCATAATAACTTGATTTAATCTAAATTACGACAGATTCGTTTAATGATAATACGTCTTTGATTATTGACAATTCCTCGTTTTCAACGTTCTTATCATCTTCCTCTTCATTTTTTTGGAATTTGATATACTTTGACTGGTATCACTTTTGTACCCACTATTTGGGTATTTACCCTAGGCCGGGGTAAATACCCGGATAAATACCCATTTTAGAAATACCTACCCGTCGGGTATTTACCCAACGCCCATCACTGGTTATACATCACTTGACTAAGTGACATTTTATCGTTTTTAGAGATTTTCATGCTGTCTGGTAGTTAAAGGTGTAACTTATCTTAGAAAAAATGCAGAATACCGAAAGACCTAAAATACCATTTGTTTTAAAGATTAAAGCTAAGCGCCAATTACGTTATACGACACTTAAATACACCAAGATATTCTACAATAGAAAAAAGAGATGAACCTACAATTTCGGATCAGTGTCGTTTTCTAGATGTTAGTATAAAATTAAAAGTTGATGTCTTTTATTTTCTATAGAATTTAAGTCTAACTACTTTCGGCCCTTAGCCATCTTCAGAGACTCTACAAATAGATTAACATCGACAAACGATAGCGGTAGGTAGCGCTAGTTAGTATAAGATTGCACTAAAACTAGAATATGCAACATAGTGATATTAAATCTTAACACCCTGTATTGACAAACAGTGTCAATACAGGGTGTGTGTTAAGATTTAACTTTTTGTGATCATTTTCACTTTTTATTTTAAAAAGAAATTAGAAAGTTGTTGTTGTTGGGATTTGATTTCGGTAGCTTCAAAATATATCGTCATAGATCCTTAACGAGGAACGAATGAGATTATATACAAAAGGTGGGCATTATTAAAGGCGAGCGAGCAGAGCACAAAAGACGCGATTCGGAAAAGTGAATGGCGCTCACAGAACCTGAACTATGCTGCCCAATCGTTTAACAATCGCGAATACAACGACGAAAACGAAAGAGATAAAAAAACTATTATAATATCGTTTTGCGATTGTGATTGTGCCTCGCTGTTGTTGTTGTTAGAACCGGGTCAGGTTTTAAAGATCGCCAGTTAATCTATCTTACGGAGATAATTTCGAATCGTCGAATAAGGAAAAGTGTAGATTTTAACGCCCCGTTTGACAAATAATATATTTACAAGTCGCGCCGTTCTCGCGCGCGCACACACACCGTTAGAATTATATTGTAATCAAAACGCATTGTCCTCGATCGCGATACGCCGTACACTTATCCGATATGGTCTAATGATTTGTTCTGGACTTGGGGGCCAGAACGGCCCTAAGTTATTGCGGTTAACTGCTTTTATACACACTCCCTCTCTCTCTCACTCCTAGAACGAACGTTCTTTCTCCTTAATAGTTTGTGCTACGATGTCGTGGGCGTCCACCGATTTTGCGGCACCAAGAATGCCCTCGAGAATAATAAGAAAAAAAATATTTTGACAACAAAAAAAAGTTAATCTCTTATAATACATGAAATATGTCGCCGTAATTAGATGCCAAGTTGAATAACACAAGAATTTTTGTCATAAACCTGTCAGTCACTTTTACTTTTTTTTGTTGAAGTAATTTACATTTTTAATTTGGATCTCATTAGGATAAAAACAGGTGGTTAACCTTAAATTTGTTTGCACATCCTTATTATAATATATGATGTATATGTTAACCCTTT